TTAAAATATTTATATAGAACAATAAGATGAACGCAATATTCTCCTACTGTAAAAGAATCAGATCTCAAGTAAATAAAAAATAATAAATTCCAATTCATATATGGTAATAAAATCAACATAATATTGTCTTACCAAAAAAAAATCAAAAGAAATACTTTGCATGAATAACAATTAAATAACAGTGACATTTAAAAAAAAAACCATCTTCAGAAAAAGCAGGACCATCCGTACATCTGGCTAGTTAAATAATGAGGTGTTGAATAATTAACATATAGCAGCGCCTGACCAACTCTCTGAATGATGAACCTGAATTGACAGTCCTAAATCACTTGGAATTTTTTTTTATTGTTATTTTTTTTGTCTTGGAGTGGACGTGGATTCAACTTCTTGAATTGCTTCTCAGGTTCATTGCCATCTCTATATCATTGCTGTTTCTGCTCTTTGTATCGCTTCTTTTACCTGACAAGCTTTGCACTTTCCCCTTTTTCTTTCTCTTTCTGGTTGAATCAAATCATCTGGAGAAAATCTTATAGAGGCCAGGTAAATTATATTAATATGTCCCATTGTTTTCGCATAGCTATTGGTTACAATCTCATTTGATTGTTGCACGATGCATTCAAACTGTAAACAATTTTTATCTATTTATTACTCTCTAGTAAAATTTCTTTTTAACCTGCTAAAATTTTTAGAGTTGAAGATTTTGATCAGAAAATGGTTCAGAGGCCTGTTGGTATCCATCTAATTGCTTGCTGACTCCTATATAATTTGAAGGCATGATTTCCCTTGCAAAATAATAATAATAATAATAATATAATCCTGTTTTCTCATATCTTGGTTTTCATATTCCTGTTTTAGATGTACCTTTCCTTCATTGATTTAACTACCATTTTCTTTCAGCATGTTCACAAATCCACTTCGTGTCTGCAGGGCTGCAAAAGAAAGGGAAGAGATGGTTAAACGGAATGATCCATTCTGGATTTGTGTTGAGCAGATGAATGATGATCGTTTGAAGTGTAGATTTTGTGGGAACGTATTTGCGGTTGAAACTTCGATTTCAAGGATAAAATATCATTTATCAGGAGTTAAAGGATGTGGCTTTAGTATTTGTGAAAAAGTTCCTGCAGATGTTCAAGAAGCAGCCTACGTAGCTATTCATGGAACAAATAAAAAACTTAAAGCCATGCCAAGTTCAATCCATGATGAAGCAAATAATACAACTTCAACTTCTTGGCAAGAGCAAAACAATGAAGTTGAAATGTTGGAAAGAGGTCTGGAAAGAGTACCAATGGAAGTTCAGGGCATAGAACAAGAACAGAGAGGCATTTCGCTTGAGGAAACAGGGTATGACCGGGAACATATGACTGCAGAAATGATGCAGCCTACGGAGAGAAGTATCTCTGCAGAAGGGATTGCACTTGATGATAATGCAGGTGAGGCTAGAAGCGAAGAAATACAAGCATTCCATGAATTGCACTGGCTATATCATTTCTCTTGTTGATATCAAGAACGAAATAATAATAAAAGAATCCTGTAAAAAACATTAGCTACATCTTTAACCTGCTCTCTATGTCCTACATATCCTGTTTTTTGCTGTTTTTTTTTTTTTTTTTAACCTATGCACCTACTCAGCTTGAATTTTATTGAAAGGACCATATTGGGATAGCTTTTGAGTTTGAAAACTTGGAAAGGGTAGATGTTTAATCTTGTTGCCATTGAAGCACTTATTGGTAGGTAACAATTGCATCCTTATTCTAACATAGCTAAGTAACAAACAACTTTTTTGTTAATATCATGGTCTGAAGTTATTAAGGATATTAACAATAACAACTTTTGTTAATCAAATTGGTCAAAGAATATGTTTGGTCCTCGCTCTCCAATACATGGAAAAAGAAGGTAGTTTTACCCATTGGCACAACTCGATTTCAAAACCACCTTCCATTTCGAAATTAATCCGTGAAATGAGACCATTGTTACCAATGCTAATCTGATTTGGAAATTGTGAACGGAGTGGAGAGGAAATGTGTTCATAGAAGCAACTTTCGCTTCTTTCCAGTAGTATTTGTTATTTCAACATATCGAATTTTATATGGAGGGTTAATTTATCACACAATTTTAAAGTCAAGTCTGACAAAAAAAAAAAAGTCTAAGAGTTGACAAATTGACAATGTCCAATGGAAGAATAAGAAATTGTTTTTGGGGAAGAATTTTCTTAGATGTACCAATCTTTAAAAATCAAAATTGATGCACCCAATCCATAGCCTTTCCATTTATCAATGTCGTTACTACACATAATCTATAATCAGCCTTGTAATTATTTTTGAATATTGCTATACTCAGACATTAACCTGCATCTTTCGATCATAAATGCCTCTATAAAATTCAAGTGAAGATGTTAGAAACTAAATATTGTAAACTTTCTATTCATATATAAGTTGCGTTAAAAACAAAACCTAATCAATGCAATATTAGGGTTGAAACATAGACCCTAATAACTCTCAGCTTTCATGTCTATTTATCAATTCAATTATTTCAGATCCTAAAAAAGTTCTTAATTCACTTTTAATGATTTATTATCCAATATAATCTTTAAATTTGATTATAAATATATTAATACTCTTTTAAATCTCTTAACTTAATATAATTTTCATGAAAAAAAAAATTTTAATCAATAAATAACATTGTTTAATCAAAAGAAATAGGCATTGCTTACCTTATAACCAAGAAAGTAGCAATAAAACTTTGATGATTTATGGTCAATTATGTCTTAGATATATCCTCCTCCTCACCTATGGAAGAAATAAAGAACTTTTAGTATTTCTTATTTCAAAACTATCCTATATTTTATGAAATTTGGGTTAATAAGCGACTCTTCCATTTTTTTTTTTTTTTTAACTAGTTGTCTTGGAAAGTGCTTCGCACTTGTATTATTCAACTATATATTTAATTTTTTTTACTATTTCTTCGTTCATTGATTTAATAGTTAATAGTTAGAAGATACAAAATTCGTACATATTTATTATAAAAACTACTACAAAATAATCTTTAACAATTTTGCATAGTATTCTTGTAGTTAATTGTTTTTTTTTTTTTGAAAAAAATTCTTCATAGCATATTGTTAAAAGAGTTAAAGATAACATAAGTTGAAAACCAAGAAGTCCGTAAAAAAATTAACAAATAAACGAGGATTCAATTTAATAATTTAATGTATTTTTAATATTTTTCAAATTGTCTTTTGATAACCTATATTTCATATTTTAAAAAATTTGACAGTCAAAATAAAGTGCAAATTGTACTATATAGATTAAGCGTTATTTAAAAAACTTATGTTATATTATTTAAAGTTTTATCTGATGTATAAATAAGTATATAATGCAAATATGAGATTAATCTATTTTTTAAAAAAATTATATTAATGTTGTAGTATCTTTCTTAATTGGAGATATAGATAAAGATAAAGTTGAATTTATATATTACTATTGATATATGTTTTGTATTATCTTATGATAAACAATAAATATTTAAGAGTCTTTTTTATTTGACATGTAAAGTTTTTGCAAGGAAAAACAATGTATTTAATGTGTACCAATAAAGTCATTTTTTAATACATGTGTGATTCTTAAAATTTGAAGGTATGTTTATCGAATCAAACATTTCGATATGTTTTTATATATAGCTGTGGATATCGATTATGGATCTAATGGGCTAGATTACTTAGTAAACTCTAGCCCAAAAGTATTTGGGTTGGGCTATTACAATATTACTCAAGCACTCAAAGGGTAACTTTTGAATCCAGACCTGCTATCTCTCAGCTTTTTTTTTTTTTTTTTTTTGACATTGGTATATTAAAATTATCTAAAAACATCTAAGAAACAGTTTCAAACGGAGTGTAAATGCATGATTAAATAGCAAGCCCTCTTCATCTTTTTGCTCGTTCCTTTTCTTTTTTAATTTGAAAAAAAAAAAAAACAATCAATTTATTTGGCGGCACATTTAGAATCTAAATTCTCTCTGATGCCACTTACTCAACCAGTCAATGTAATGGCTCATCCTTAAAATTTATTCTGTTTGCCGGTTCCTCTTCATCTTTTTGTTATGTTCTGTTTTTTATGTTTCGTTTTCTACACACATATGTACTTGTTTTCTGCTGCCTTTTTGGAGTTGTATGGAATGGCACATATTCAGCTTGAGTTTAATATATGCAAGAAATATTGCAACATAAACATCAAGATTTTAACAGAATCGATTTATATCTTTATTACTCAAAAACTTAAAAAGATGTAATCATTCTGTAACAAGTAGTTAGTAGGACTCAAACTACTTGGTTATCTTATGGTTTAAGAAAAAAATAAAATAAAAAATTACTTACTTTGTTTTGCTTTGAGAATCTCAATGTTGCTGTAACAGATTACTATTTGGGTTCTCGTGTTTCGACTCTTGTGTATATACAAAATGCTTCCAGGCAAAAGGTAGCAGACAATCAAAACTTTTTGGATGACATACACAAATTCAACTTTGTTGGATTGCAAAGTCTTTAAGGATTACCTCGTTAGCTTTGATAGCCCTAATCAAAACTTCATTGCATTTCGGCCATAACAAAACTGCTCTGCATATATTACCTAGTAAGAAAAGAAACAAAACAAAAAATAAACACACCCCGACCAAATCTCAAAGGGATCGATCACAAACGGGCTTTATGGTAGCCGGTTGAACCTAATTCGATTCAAAATGGATGAGTATAAACTGAAATCTAATACAATCTGTTGCCATCTTGCCTATTCCTTGGCAGACTGAAAGCCTGAAACATACACGTGTCCCAAACCAAGACACCATCCATGTGTCATGAGACAGATGACCCAACATAAAAAGGGCAACCCAGTCATGCTAAAAAACATAAATAAATACGTCTCTGTATCTACCTCGGTCCATTCCGGTATTGGAGTTTCTTCCAACTTCCACAACACTCTAGACTAAACTAGACGACGCTAGGCTACGCTACAGCCATGGCAGCTTGGACAACTGTGGCTCGTCAAGCCTCGAATTTGACTTGCTTTTCATCTACGAAAATAGCTTCACCTCATCAAGCCGCTTCTCTTGTTCACCGGCGCGGTCTAGCCAGTGGCGGTGGTAATCCTCTGCTTTCACGTCCAGCATCTCTGTAACACATTGAAATGAAAAAAGTGGACTCTTGAGCCTTAAAGATTTGAATTTGTTGATTAAAGATTGTGTTTTTTATGTTGGTTTTTAAATTGCAGATCATCATGGTTCTCCAAAAGTGAACTTCTGGGAGGATCCTTTGACCCCTTCTAAATGGAAAGAAGAGCAAGTGAGTTTTCCTTTTATTTAAAGGCTTGGTCTTTGTCCGTTATTTCAGTTTCTTGTTGGATTTCATAGATTACTGAAGCATTTTTTTATTGTCCCTTTTTGTATTTCGGTCTGTTTTTGGAGTTTGAAGTGCTTAAGGTGGCATGTTTGTTAGAGATTGTCTTTGTAGATTATTTGTCGGTGGCTGTGGTTCCTTGAATATTCTCATGTCCTTTTTTTTCCTTGTCATTGATTCACTGTGCCGAGGAACTTCATCCGAATTAGGATATTGTTGATTATTATTATTGTTATTGTTTTTTTTTTTTTTTTTTAAAAAAAAGGCTGTTCAAATTTTGATCTGATGGCAATTGGCTTGGAAACAGTGGATTTGATCTTGTCTTTCGTAATTATTTTCTCTCTATGTTGTGTGTGTGCATGCGTGCAGTAGGGCTTGCTTCCAGTTTTGCAATGAGAGATTGTAGTGTGGAAGGTGGTGTAGGTAGCCTTAAAGAAGCAAGGAAAAGGATAGATCTGCTTGCTTGTTAGAAGAATAGTTATAATAGCCTACTCTGATACTATAGGCACTCAAGACATTTATGTTTAGTCTTGTTTTTTCGGCTTTTTTGTCTTCCCTTTGATCTAATTGTTGATGTGATTACGATTTTTAATCTTATGCAATTTTCTGTTGCAGTTTGTTACTGTGTCTTTAGCTGGCTGCGGTACACTCATCTATGTAGGTTACAAGTTCTTCACTGGAGGCAAGAATGACAAGAAGGAAGAGGTACTTTGTCATAACTAATAGATACCTGGTTAATACGTTTCATGGCCGAGCGTATTAGTTTTATACAGCTTACAATAACTAGTTAATTGATACAAGAACCTTAAGCTCAACGAGAAGTAGTTGCCTACAAGACCCTCTTCCCTTAATTTTTGGTCAGATTCATATAGAGATCTTTACAGATTAAATCCGTTTTATAGCTAAGAATGATAGGGAAAATTTACTATGAAAGCTCAATTAACGTATATGGTTCTTTGAATTATTTACCCAACTACATGTGCTGTTTTATTTTGCAGAAGGATGGGGGAGCAGCTAACTAGATTTAGAATAGTGCCTCGTTATATCTCCAAGAAGTAAATCCATGATGAGGATGGATGTTCACTTGTATGTTGTGACACTTTTTTGATGAGTTTAGTTGTACATGATTTCTAAATGGAAGATGGGTATTGGTCTTTTGTGGTTTAATATTTTACTGTGTGGAACAGTTCCAATAATCAAATTATCACAGGGCCATTTTCTGGTAGATATCTAGCTACAACTTCTATATGATACCACCAAGCATGCCAGCTTGCGAATCTAGTATCGGCGTAAATACTGATTCTGCTTTTTCCGGTTACTGTTTATTAACGTAGTTCTCAGATAGCCCTTCAAATTTTTGTCACATTGGAAAGTTCTCTCCCAGCCATGGTTGCCGTGGTTTTAAATCGCAGTGGCTGTTGGAATTTTATTAATTAAGTATATTAATAGTGATAACATTTGTAATGGTTTAAAATTATGCAACAATAGTTGAATTTTATTATAAAAAAAAATGGTAAATAACACTTTTAAGAGAATAATATTAAAAAAAATTACAAACTCAATATACATGCTTCAAAATATTTTATCTTTAAAAGAATAGTTGTGGAAAGTTATAATCAAAATATTTTATCTTTAAAAGAATAGTTGTGGAAAGTTATAATAATAATTATCATCTTTTTCATGATGTGATTTATGTCCTTTAAAATTATTATCATAACTATATTACTCCTTCAAAATACCAATTGCTCAAATAATAAAGTAGAGGTATATTTAGTGCTCAAATAGTGAAGTAGAACTTGAAATATAGTGGTTTGATGAGGAGGTACGTTATGAATCTTGAAGTACGTAATTATATGCTTGGACTTCTTGAAATTTTTTTTTTAAAATGATAAAATTAGTTTGAGTACAAAATAACCTAGGTGAATTCTCTGCTTTTCAAGCAAATATTTAAAATTTCATGTGGTTTGGTAAGAAAATAAAGTTTAAAACTAATTGAGATTTGAGAAAGAGTTGACTATTGAAAATTGAGAGTTGATCACTTGTGATTTTATGAAAACATGAATGAGTTGACTTTTTGAAAATAAAGTTTTTTTTTTTTTTTTTTTTTGATTTGCTTCCAACATGACCTAATAGTTTCTCCATGCCATCACAATATGTCATAGTTTAGTGACCTACAAGGTATATACGCAACAAAAGCTATTATGTTGTCTTCTTTTTGTAATATGCTGCTCCTCCGTATTGAGGACTACCGTGTTTCTTAGTTAATTCGTAGTGTCCCAATTTGGGTGAGCAGAAGATCGGACTTCGCTTTTGCTTGATAAACAAGGTGTGAATTTTTGGCACTCCTAGAATAATTTCATGCACGGTCAAGCCCTCATGTAATATTGGAATCCTGCCACGCTTGCAATATCCTTTCCTTTGAATTAATCCAATGCCCAGTGACGAACTCCATCAACTGTTTACTCAAAAATCTTTCACTCTTAGATCGAAGTTTGAGGAGCTGAAAATAAGGGTAAGATGCCACAAGAAGTTTAAGATTTGATTATAATGCATTTTGGAAGCTGCTGCAGTTATGTTTGTTGTTGAAAGCATGTAACCTACTCTATTTCTAACCGAGAGCTCCTAAAATACATATACTAGAAGGAGAGACAATGCAAATGTATAAGAAATGTCAATAGAAATGTCAAAAGGCCATCGTACAAATTTACTTTGCTGTCAAAACTTAGAATACAATCAGCAATAACTTGAATTCAGTTACCCGTGAGCTCCTAAAATACATACACCAGAAGGAGAGACAATGCAAATGTACAAGAAATGTCAATACAAATGTAAAATGGTCATCGTACAAATTTACTTTCATGTCAAAACTTGGAATACAACCAGCAATAACTTGAATTCAGTTTCTGCCCGATTAAAGTCGTGCGCTCAGGGTTGACCCAGACCCAGTTCTGAATGACAATACACACTGTGAGCTGCCGTTTAACTCTGAGGACAGTAGGATAAATTTGAAGAAACGGAAAACGCCATCAGCTGAGAAAAGCGAAACTAAAAGCTTTCTGAGAACAGACAGCAAGAGTATGAGAACTGTTAGGCACTGCATTGTAAACATGTTTACCAGGTTGTTAATCTGAGCAAAATAAAATCTGATCCGTCTATATTGCACAAAAAATGGGACAGAAAAGGTCCTCGATTCCTAATTGAACTCCAAAAATACAGACCTATCTATATTGAACAATACGTCTGACAATGAATAATTAAAAAACTGAGGTTGACTAGGTGCTTCACATTTCAAAACTGACAAGTCAACAGCATTGCAGATGAACAGTGAACAAATGGAGGAGCCCTACACTCCAGTGGTTCCAACTGTGTGTGTATATATATATATATTCCTAAAAATAGATTTCATCCAAGAACGAAAAACCAAGGAACAAGCTCCTACAACCTTAGCTGGAGCCAGTCCAAAAGAACACCAGAAGGATTATAACAGAGTATCTGCAAGGGCTGTTTTCGCCAAGTCTCTAGTTACATCACTCAAATATAACAAAGTTATTGAAGTTGAAGGGTTTGTATGACAAACCAGGATATTATGGCTATGATGTCTCAGTCCGCATCCTTTACTTCTGCTTCAACATCTACAACAGCTGAAGAAGATTCTTTTCCTGAACAACACAAAGGCAGTTTCCGAATTCACAAATCAAATTATATGAGCTCAACTTCAACTTTTATGAGTTGAATTGCTACTTGATTTGAAAAACGGATTTAATTTATTGCAACTTAGTGGATCTTATTATATGGGCTCAAAGTTGATCAACCCAAGTTGATCACTACTTGCATGGTCATCACATGCAAAAACTAATGCAAAATGAATTTAATTCACATCCCAGGTCATGAACAAATAAAGGAGTAGGAATTTGATGGTGAACCTTTCTTGAAACCAGAAGAGAAGTCACTGAATGCTTGTCCAAACGGTGTAGATTTTTTGGAGAACTTCACTGAATCACTCACAAACTCATCACCCACCACTGGAATTCATGCAAAATATCAAAAAGAAATGAAGACAATTAAGATAGATCCATGCTAACATCTTTGTCAGTCAATCAATTAGACATCAAACTAGTCAGCAAGTAGTAAATTAGCTCATAAAAAAATAATGGCCATGCTTCTACAAATATAGCATGAAAATTGGAAGACCCGGAATCAAAAGAAGACCTTAACAATTAGATTTAAACTTTGACAAGTTCAATGTTAGAGTCATTGTTGAAATTATAATTTATCATCCTTTTGTTTCATCTTTGATTGCACATTCCATGTTTTGGCAAATATAAGGTTCGATTCTTCAAAACCAGGAGTTAAAAAGGGATTACTCCAAAATATTGAAAATTAAATGCTATATTTCTAATGAAGAACTTTGAAACTCCACAAAATTGAGAAAATGCCAGCGTCATTTGTGTGCTCTATAAACTTGAATTTTAAGAGCAAAATAATATCTTCAACTGCTTTCTTAATGAAATCAATTCCACTAATTTAAGCTGCGGTCTCGGTGAAAAATGCAGCATAGCTTATAGTAATCCATCCCCTTATTTTAACCAGTGCACAACAAGTCCAGTGCTAAAAGTCCACTATTCTAGACATGTGATAAGAGAAATTTTTTTTTTTTAACTCTACGGTAAGAGAATATATATATATATATTTTTAACTCTACAGTATGATGTATCCAAGACTTGGCTTTCACCTGAGAATGGTTGACTGCAAAATGGGCACAGCTGCAATTCATCATTCAAAGTAGATCTGAACAAGATGACATTATGATCGAAGTCAAACAACTTACAATGCAAAACCATCAAAAAAATGTGTCTATAACCTTGATTAGAATCACTGTGTGGCACTTACTTGAAAATTTGAAATTCATTTCCACAATTTGGGCACTGCATACACACCCCCACACACACCCAAAAAAAAAAGAGAGTAGTTAGTTAAAGAAGGAAAAAATGCACACGCATGCATGAGTCTCCAATCTCCATCTTTGAAGGCGAAGAGCCCGTAGAAGAACCAGGCAGCATATCTCTCGAAAGATAACAAATGAAAGAAAAGAATGGTGCCTAGGAAGCTAGTAAGTAAGTTTCAGAGGCCTCACTGTGCTTTGAACAATGTCACGTCCTGCCCACCAGAGAAAGGCTCCCAAGCCCACAATGGGAATAAAGACAGCAAGGAGCTGTACAAAGAAGTCACCAATCAGTTAGTTCCCATTGCACAAACTGATCTCATCGGAACAGAATACTACCAAAACAAAAAAGTTGGTATACAACATAAACCTTAAAAAGCTAGTATTAGTTTCAATATGACGAAACAGTGCTCATTTAGAAAAAGCACAAGGGATATTCAAGTATATGAGTAACTATATTCACAGATAAGACAGTTCTAACCAGAAAATGATTATAACCAGATACTAGCAAAACCAACCTAAGACAGTTGTAACCAATACAAGAACATGGAAGTAAAAGGAAAGTTACCACATGAAGATAACTTGGATGAAAGAAAACATATTTAAATTAAGAGCAACTTCTGCATGCTCCAGGGAGTACAATGAAACATATCAGCTTATGCATCTCAACACAAAAAAAAAATGGTGCTTCAGAATTGCCAAAGGGAACAGCAGGACGGCTCACAGACTAAGTAGAACATCGTAATACTGAACAAAGCCGAATAAAATTTATGAACAGAATAATTTGGTGGATTAACTATTCCTATATTACATTAGTGCAATTGATAGTTAACAGACAGTAGATATTAAGGAACAAAATCAAAACTCCAAATCTTTGTAAGGTAGAAAGGCATCGCTTTGAAAGTGAAACCACACATTTCAACACAGGCTCTTCTATATAAAAGGTCCAATAAAGCATACAATAAACTTACCCAAATTCAAAGAGACAATAATCCAACACGAGATGAACAAAATAATTTCACAAACAAAAAACAAAGAAAGACAAACATACCCAGATAGAAATTAGTGTATCCAAAACCCAACCAACAGCATCAAAAAACCAACCAAGCTGTCCAGTCATTGAAAGATAAGTCAAACCAACAGCCAAAGCAATATTTCCCAGAAGCCTAGTAGTACCACTGTTATCTCTTCCACCACCACCACCATTTAAACCAAACCTTTTATTAGACCTCACCAAAACTACCCTCCTCTTCCTTTTTATCCCCTCCTCTCTTATCAAAATCCCATCTTTCCCATCTCCCACCAAACTCCATCTTTCCTTGTAAGACCTTAATTTGAAGTTATCTTTATTCAAAGAAGTAAACTTTAAGGATGGTATAAAGTGATGAGTAATGGGTTTTTTGTATTTGTTTAAAGGAGAGAAGTTGATAGAGAACTGTAGTACTGTTGTCATGGCCAAGAAGGCTAAGTTTTGAACCGAAGCTATAACACTGGTTTTGGATAGTGTGTAGTGGAAGATTTCATGATTAATGAAATCAAACTAGATTTTTGCAGTCTCATGGACGGTTTTAAGAGTGTCTGCTTTCGTTTCCAGGGAGTTGACTGTAGATTATGAATCAGTCTTCATTAGCCAATGATGGAGTGCCACCTGTATTTAAAAATGACCTGGTTGGTCCATTCCCTCCCTTATCGTCCAGTGGGTCCCACCCTCCAGGATATGAATTATTCCGCATATAAAGAATTAAATTATTAATTCCTGGAGTAAATTATAGATTAGTCCTTTAAGTTAATTAATTAGTCTCTTTTGTTTCAAAATTTAATTATTTAATCTTTATATTTTTAAATTTTTTGTAATTTAATCCTTTTATTCTTTTTCAATTTGTTTTGACATTTTGTTTTAAGAAATAGAAAAGGTGAAAAAATAAATATAAAATATGGAAGGATTGATGAGATTAAAATAAATCTTTTTGAAATAAAATAATATTAAATTAAGCATCGTCAATAATAATTAAGAGACTAAATAATTAATTTTTAAAATAAAGAGGATTGATCAATTCATTTCTATGAAAATAAAGAGACTAATTTATAATTTACTCTATTTTGATGGGATTTAATAAATATTTTGTTTATTTTTATGTAAATGCGAGTTTTAAGTAATGTAATTCAACCACTTATTGAAAGAATTTTTAGCATGCTCGAGTAATGATATCTTTAATTCCATTAATTTTTTTTCAACATTTGAAAATCATGAAGATAGCCATGAGAATATATCCTGGCGGGTGCACAGCAAATTGTTCAAAAATTTATGTTAATGGTAAGAACTTGATTGTTCAAACCTATAATTTACTATTTACCAGATTTACAAATAAATATTTTTTTTTTTCAGGAAAAAGTTAGGGCTAGCTAAGGCTTTTTTAAAAAAAAAAAAAGAAAAGAAAAGGTTCTCCAATTACCATTAATTTTGAGTAAAAGTATAAATTAATCCCTCTAGTTTCAAGAAATGAATTAATTAGTCCTCATTCAAAAAATTATTATTTAATCTTTTAACTAGTGTTTATCATACTGAATTTAATATTAGTTTTATTTCACAAAATGTTTTCTTTCCTCATCAATTTTTTCATATTTTTTCCTTTTTTCTATTTGTTGAAACAAACAATCAAAATAAAATAAAAAAGAGCCAAAGGACTAAGTTATAAGTAAATTTTAAAATATAAAGACTTAATGAGTAGTTTTTAAAATAAGAACTAATTAATTGGATTTTTGAAATGAGAGGGAATAATTTACAATTTACTCCATTAATTTTCAACCTTCGGTGATAAATTAATTTTGTATCTCCTGTTTGTTTATGTCTACATAAAATGGGCGTAGAATTCCATTTTGTAATATCTCTTACTTAAACTTTGCTGCTAAGATTGTCAATCATGTACCTAATAAAAGCAAACACTTTTCTTAAAAACATTGAGTAAATATTATTTGATTCCTAGCTATATCTTTTCAAAACGGGAGGAACTAGCTTACATAATCACCAGAATACAAGGACTAAATTATAATTTACTCAATAAAAAAGTATGAAGCAGTAAGAACAATTATATAAAAAAAAAAAACTGTTTGTGCTCTTTAGAATTTAGAGATGCTTCTTTGAGTTATGGATTAAATAGAACTATATGAGGGGTTAACAAAAAGATCTTCATCGTTTCTTTTTTTACCAAAAAAAAAAAAATTTCATATTTTACCGAACAAGCAAAGATTAAGAAACCAACTAATTGATACTTATAGTTCTGTATCGATTGCTATTGCAGGTATTTGTGAACTTAACATACTAAATAGATCCATCTTGCTTGTAAGAATCTGAAAAAATGCTAGTATTCTTCAGTTCAGCTCTAGAGATCATTTAAGATCGCTTAAAAACTAGAGGAACGTGAAAGTCTTATGCCATGACTTGGGCTTCGTATTCGTTTCTCAGTGGAAACTCTTCAGCTAATAAAATGCAGGTTTTGACCACTCTCAAATCTCTAGAAGGCTGCTAAGGAATCGATGACAGTAGAATAGCATTGTAAGCAAGACTGGGGTATTACCTGTTCGCCATGGAAGAATAGACAATTTGTTTTCCACGAAAGTGTACTCATGGAACAAATGGAACTGCCACTCCATATTTTCTTTTATGATCTCCTGAACCTGTTTTAAACAGTTTGATGCATATGAAGCAAAACAATCTGCTGACTCTGAAAACAAAAAGCAGATACAATTTCCTTATGGACAAAGTATAGGCAGTGTCTCTCGTGCAACCACTACAGGAGCAATATTTGTATCGATAGTTCAAGCACACCTTAAAAATTCTCACCAAATTTGGTATTGGCTTCTACGCTAGTCTTTCTTCTTATCCAATTTCATATTTATCGCGGCGAGGTCATCTCTATATGGTGTAGCGCTGTATGCATATTTCTGAAAAGCAGAAAAGAAAACCATTTCTACACAAACCAAAGCATTTTGCAGAGCTTCTTCAATGTGCTCTACATCAAGCCAGAAATGATGAGATCGGATAATGCCCAATGCTACAAGAATATCAAGCACAACTCCCTGCAAAGACATTCAATAATTTTCTCAGTCTTTGATTCTCAAGGACTACCTATTTCGTCCGGCCAATACAAATGGTTTAAATCATGTCCATTACAGGTAGTTGCATTTTTTAGATTATTTTGAATTCCTAAGCTGACAATGTTAGAATTCCAAATATTGGTTAATTTGAGCATGGAAATTTTTATACTTTTTTCCAAAGCATGCTCCTGTCATAAAAATGTACAAAGGCCTCAATGTTTGATGCATGTATGATCTATTAAACATGGAGAGGAACCATCAACTGCAACAAAAAATTCTTTGTATTATGTAACTTGATTTCAAGAAGGGCATGTTGTGAGAGCATACCTGCCAAAAGCAGAAAAAGACAATTCCTTTGATGCACAAGAACTTGGCAAGAGGTTTATGTGGAGCCAACTCTTTAGCAAATACATGATAGAAAACCACCAGAGAATACAAAGCCAGTGATACTGAAATGTTCAGAATGACTGTGAATGTCCAGCTCACCCAACTGGAATACAACCCAAGAAGTTGAAGAGATATCATCAAGATGGAGCAAATAGGGCGAATCACAACAAACTGCCATGTCCAGTACTTCAGGAGCTTCAGTGTGTTATGGTTCAAACGAACGGTGTGTGGCTGCAGTTGATAGATAAGGTCAAAGAACACTTAGACATACCGCATAGACATCAGTTGATAAAAATCTTTATACCTAGTTACCAATATATCACTAGCAAACGATGTTTAATCTAATAAGAAAAGATACAAGGGTCAGCAATGAATGGATTGTGATTCCAGTAATTCAACATGGCATGCCCGGTAATCAGGCTAGGGAACTTTCCAATAATTCAAAGGGACTGAACAATAGAGCCAGTTGATTGATACAGTATGCATCAATTTCAAAAAAAGATCCATTTTACAATCACTCGATTAGCTTCCAATACCTGTTACTGCTAGGTAACAATACACACTAAAGGACAGCTCCTAAAAAGGATAATGTAATTGTGATGGTATTCTCTGCTTTCCTTTGCAGAAGGTTGGAGAGTTGACTGCTAATGGTGCAAATGTCAACCAACACATTTGGACAGTATAGGAACGGAAATTTGGCTCCACTCCTGAAAATGGTAAGTTAATGTTCCTAATGCCATGATGCTTATTATCCTATTTATCAGCATAACCAAATTAATATCTTCAACGGAATTAAAGATCACTGATGAATGCACACATCTCTATTATTAAAACATCACTTTGATACAGACAGAAAGTCAGAATAAAACTTCTTGACCTGAAAAAGAGTCATTGGAAATGAGTGGTGAATCTCCCTTCCCTTGATTTCATCTGGAACTATGTTTTTGCTTATTGATATGTTCAAGTAGCTGTACAACAAAGCCAAGAACTTTGCTATCACCTGCATGTAACTCAGTAAACATGAAATCAAAATCACTTGTGCATGCTTTCCTAAGACTTCAATTCCCTTTTTCCGACATGAAATTTCCAAAACTTCATTTCCAGCATATCAAATTTACAATTCTTATGAATGTCTTACCAGAGCCTCATAGCATTCCTTGACTGATTCCAAAAGCATAAAAAAACCTTTGCTTCCCTGAAAATCTACCAAACCTACAAAGGAGTCAATGGCATATATGGGGGCCATAAGTATGATGATTATAATGGCCTTTTGCTCCTTTGGCTTCTTCCAACTCAGTAGATGCTCTGCGAGAAGCTGTCCTGAAAAGTGCATGGTAAGCATCACACAGAAAGTGGATGCCAGAAGAGTAAGCTGTCCAGGCTTCATTGAGTTTCTATTTTTGTAAACAAAAACTGCACAAAGAAGTGGAATTAAGTGAAAAACAAAAGCGAAATCCAGTTGTCTAGAGGAGCACTATATATAGACTTTAATGTGGTAAGAGTATGATATTTCGTATTGATGATCCTGAATGAAGAAAATCAGATTGCACAAATACCAATATTAAAGAGTAAGACCGAATTTTCATGGAAAAAAAAAAGCACTTTAACAAAGTTTCCATCTAGATTTTTCAAAAAGCAATGAGTCACCCATCCTAACGGAACTGAGATTTCCAATCATTCAGCTTAACAGATACTTTGGTGCAAATTTTCATCAATATATTGACATCATTGAGCATCATTTACATAGATAATTAGCTCAACGAGTTTTATATCAGTAGGTTATCTAAAGAATCTGGCCTATAATTAGAAAGTGAACTCCCATTCCCTGAGAAATTCTCATTACAAGTCAGTTATCATTTCTTACATTCCTACCTTTCCTCAGTTCATCTTGAAGAGATAACATTCGAATTTCTAAGTGTCCAATTCAAGATTACGAAGATCAAATTCTCTCGACTTATAATCAAATTTATT